TGGCTCGCAGGAGCTTGACATGCTGCTGCGGCGCAAGAATGTGCGGCTGTACAGCGAGGCGTCGCTGGAGTGGCGCGACCCGTTCAGGAAGAAGCGCGGTGGGCGCTATTCGCGCTACGCCGAGGCCGAATACGACGCGTATGGCAGCAAACCCTCCACCGTCTACATTGTGCTCCCGCGCAAGGAGCAGGGCTCTCAATACGCAAAATGTGTGTTATGTGCATCCTTTGTTTGTCTTGTGCATCCTGTGTGTTCTTCCTGTGTGTGCATCCTTCTGTGCAGCGTATTTGCATGTGCATGCGACTCGCGTTTTCCTTGTTCGCTCACATGACAACCATCTCATGCCCCCTTGGATGACACCCATGCCATGCCACCACGATGGACCATCAGGGGACATCTGGCTCGTGTCGCGCGACCTGGAATTCAGGCCGTCGTCCACGTTCCTGGCGGCCGCCGCCTTCCACGGCCCAAACAAGACCGGCAGCCTCGAGCTCAAGCCAATGGGGTGCGCATCACACACGTACTCGTGCAGTTGTGCTGACGTGTGCGCTCATTTTTGGCTCGTTGCAGGGGCATGTGCGCTTTCACACACACACACACACACACACGCATGCTCACTCACCATCATTCATTTGCACTACTTGGTTGCAGTTCGTTTAAGCAGCGGGACTGGCGGCAGCAGGATCGCGTGTTTGCCATCCACGCCTTCAACGCGTCGACAGAGCTGACATGTCTGCAGAACATCCAAGATCACCTGCACGCCAACGCGTTTCCCGTTCTCCCGTCGCTCCTCAACCTGGACGCCGCAGCCCGCCGCAACCTCCTCCGCGTGAGTGCTCCCGCATGCGCGTGTGCATGTGTGTGTGTGTATGCATGTGCGTATGTGTGTGTGTGCGTGTGTGCGTGTGCGTGTGTGTGTGTGCGTGTTCGCTTGTGAGCGCATGTGTGCATGTCTTGACCTGTGCATGAGAGAGTGCGTGCAAATTGCGCTTGCTTTGCCATCGTACTCATCGCCGCCGCCCTTTGCTCGCGTCGCTCCCTTTTGGCATCTCGCAACAGACGAAGCACCGCTTGCTGATGGGGCGGGGTGAAATCAACGATATGGCCACCGCCTACATTGAGCAATACCAGTGCGTGCCAGTGCAGTCGCTTGACATGCCGGTTTCGTGTTGAGTGTGCACTCTGTATCAACTCTTCGTGTCAGTTGCCAAGGCAAACCATCCTTTCTTCCCCTTCATTGCCTCATCGTCGTTGTCCCTGTCTAACGTTTTCCACCACCACCACAACGCTCAACATCAATTGTCAATCAAATCACCACCACCACCGCCACCGATGCTGCCGCTGTCGTCAGCTTGAACGAGTACCAGGCTGCGTGTCTGCGGCGGTTTGCGGGCATGCTCCCGTCCATGGATGCGGGCGCCGATGTGGAGGACAACGGCATTCTACTCGTGCACGGCGTGTACGGCAGCGGCAAGTCGTTTCTTGTCGCCGTCACCATCCTCTTCCTCTCCACTGTCTTTGCCCGCAGCGACTCCTTTGAGGAAAAGGTACACCAGTGCAGGCCCCGTGTGTTCTTGGTGCTTGCTGTGGGTACGCGTAACCCGTCGAAAGATGTTGTGATCGTTGTCAGTGTCTGGCCTGTTGACGATTTGTGGCGTGTTTAATGGCTTAAGCATTGCCACCCAAGTCAAAAGGTCTCTCGCACACATGAGTGCAAGCACACGCATGTCCCCTTTCTCCCCCCTCCCTCACACTTGCGCGCTCTCTCTCACACACACACACACATTCACACGTACGTTCACTCATACACATTCACACACACACACGCGCGCTCACACGCACTCACACGCACGTACATTGACACGTACGTTCACTCATACACATTCACACACACACACGCGCTCACACGCACACACACACACACACATCCGAATGCAGTCGCTGGAGACGTCGCCGTGGCGCATCTTGGTGTCGTCGACGACAAACGTGGCTGTGGACCGCATCCTGCTGACGCTGCTTGAGCTGGAGTACGAGGACTTTGTGCGCGTGGGCAGCGCAAAGAAGATTGCAAAGCCCGTGCTGCCGCTGTCGACGCACGGCACCGTCACCGCGGACCAGGACGAGGTGCGCAACCTGCGGCACATGCTCAAGAGCGAGCTCTCCCGCACGGAGCGCGCGCAGGTGATGAAGACGATTGAGCGCCTGCGCCGCGGCGAAAACAGGTCGCGCCTGCTTTCCGCGCGCGTGGTGGGGGTGACGTGCGCCGCCACGGTGTTTGGGTGCCTGGACGACCTCAAGTTTCCCGTCATCATCCTGGACGAGAGCTGCCAGATGACGGAGCCCAACGCGCTGCTGCCGATTGCGCGCTTCGGCTGTGCGCAGCTGATGATGGTGGGCGACCCCAAGCAGCTGAGCCCGACCGTCTCGGGCGGCGCCGACGCCACCGACTGCCGCGGGCTGGAGCAGACGCTGTTTGAGCGGCTGATGAAGGTGGGCGTGGACCCGATTATGCTGCGCATCCAGTACCGCTGCCACCCGGCCATCAGCCGCGTCTCCAACCAGCTCTTCTATGCCGGCGTGCTCGAGGACGGCATCACCATCGACGCTCGCAGCGCCGTCGTGCCGCGCGCGGGCCCGCTCTGCTTCTTCGACGTGCTTACGGGCCGGGAGCGGCGCGAGGCAGACGGGTCCTTTTCCAACGAGCAGGAGGTGGCCTTTGCCGCGTTTCTCGTGCGCCACGTGGTGGAGGACTGCGGCGTGGCGCCAGACCAGGTCGGCGTCATCTCCCTGTACAAGGCCCAGGCAAACGGCATCCGCGCAGCCCTCCGTGGTAGTACTAGCAGTGGTGGTAGTGGTCGTAGCAGCAGTGGTAACAGTGGCGGGGACAGACCACAGCAGCAGCAGCAGCAACAGCAGCAGCAGCAGAAAAGGCAGAAGCGGCAAAAGGGGAGCAGGAGCGGCGGCGAGCCTGATGCAGGCACCACGTCCGCTGGCCACGACTATGCCGCCGTGCAAGTGAGCACGGTTGATGCGTTTCAAGGCGGCGAGAAGGAGGTGATTGTGCTGTCGTGCGTGCGAACGCAAGGGGTTGGCTTCATCGATGCGCCCGACCGCGTCAACGTCGCCATCACCCGCGCCCGCCGCCACCTCTTCATCATCGGTAAAGTCAGACCTTTTGTTCCATACGATTGGCTTCCGCTTCTTGCATGTGTGTGTGTGTGTGTGCGTGTGTGCGCGTGTGTGTGTGTGTGTGCGAGAAGGTGGGTGACTTGCTCGCTTGGCTTGCTCGCTTGGCTTGGTTGGATGCTTGGCGTTGCGTGTGCAAGTGCGCGCTCGCGCGGACGTGTTTGTGCGTGTTTGGAGGCGAGTTGAGAAGGTGTTGCAGCTTCGACTTTGCGCGGTGGAAGTGGTGTCCGGTTTGATTGTCACTTTTTCCGTTGCGTGGGTTGATGGGTTGATGTGAGGGAGGGAAGCGCCCTTGCTTACGTGCATGGAAGTGTGTGGAAGTGCATTCTAAATTTGTGGAAGTGCTCAATAGGCCCGCACTGTCCATGCACCATTCCCATTATTGCTTCTTGTTCTGCACTTCGTGCTATCGCATGACGTCGTGAGATGTCTGGCATACCGCTCGCGCGCGCGCGCACGAGCGCTTGGTGGTTGGCTGGTGTTTTGCGTGCATGCATGCCTGCATGCAACCACCGCTGACGTTGGTTGCTTGGTTGGTTGCTTGGTTGGTTGCATGGTTGGTTGCTTGCTTGCAGGCAAGTACACCACGCTGGCCAGCAACAAGCTGTGGCGACGCGTCGTTTCCTTCTGTCGCGACCTCAAAGGCGGCTTCATGGAGGTGTGTGGTTGCGTGTGTTGATTGTGTTTTGTTCTGGGATAGCCACACACACACACACACACACACACGTTTGCGTGTCGTGTGTCGTTGAAGGGAAAGGAGTTGGAGTTGGAGATGAGTTGTGTGTCAGCCACCTAACGTCAACACGTATCTTCTACACCCCACACCAATACCCACACATACAGGCGCGGGAGTACCGGGCGCAGGTGCTGGAGATGCAATCGGAGACGGTGCTGGAGGATGAGTACGAGGATGAGGACGTGCTGCGAGAGGCGATGGCAGCGATTGATGAGGAGGAAGGGCGGGGCAGTGGCGGAACTGGTTCAAAGGCGACGGTGACGCGGGAGAAGGGACAGCCGCGCGCCCACATTGCTGCCGCAACTGGTGCTGGTGGCGAAGATGATGACAGCTGGTTGGACGACGGGTTCATCGTGCATGACAGTGAGGGAGCAGAGCAGGACGTGGAAGATGACGATAACAAAGCAGGAGGAGGAGAAGCGAGCGAACATCACACCGACGGTGGGGATCACACCACCATGGATTCAGGCCTTTCCAAGGGCAAATCGCCCGCTGCAGTTTGCGATGTCGAGGATGATGGTGATAATGGTGATGATGGAGACGATGAGGATGACGGTGCTGTTGCTCGGCCGTCAAGACGCGTACCGACGCTGACGCTGAACCTCTTTGAGGACTCTGATGATGACAATGGCGTTGATGGCAACGGCAACGGTGGTGGTGGGCACGACGACGACAGTGATAGTGAGCTTGTGGCTGTATTGTGACGCTGGCCCGCTCTGATGCGCAGCTTTGGCGGGTCAACACTTTGCTTGTTCTCGTTCTCTTGGTGCTATTGGAGGTTGCATGTTGTATGTAGCTAATGCTGTGCACGGTCTGGCACCACACGGCACAGGATAAACATACCCATCGAAGCATGTGCAAGGACAGGAAGAAGAAGGCAGGGGAGGGAAAGCAAGGGTGAAAGGGAAACGTGGCCTGTCACGTCCCATGCTCATTCTGTTTGATTAGCGATGGATGGTCGCACACGGACTGGCTCATGCTTCCGTGACGTTGGTGTGTCCCATGCCTTCAACTTCAATCTCAAACAGCTTGTCGTTGTCCTTGTCCACCTGTCGCACGTTGAACTTGACGCCTGCATATGGCCGGCGTGTGAGTGTGTGTGTGCATGTGAGTGAGTAAGTGAGTAAGTGAGTAAGTGCGTGAGTGAGTGAGTAAGTGAGTGAGTGAGTGAGTGAGTGAGTGAGTGAGTGAGTGAGTGCGTGAGTGAGCGAGTGAGTGAGTGAGTGAGTGCAGAAGCAAACACGCGGAAACACACAAGAGCTGCACACACACACACACACACGCACGCACACACACACGCACACACACACACACATGAGTGCAGACCGACCTGTGAGCTGTTCTGCCACCCAGATGGCCGTCTTGGTGTGAAGCGAGGGCGGACCGCAACGAACTGTCGACTTGCCCTTTGCCAGCGCCATGTAGATGATGAGCTGATCCATCAAGTATTCATCCACACAGCCGCCATGGTCCAGGTTCTCCCTTCACCCAAACGCAAGAAAAGGGGAGTGCATGGTCATGGGTGAGACGGCGTGACGTGATGAGCAAAGTCACGAGACAAGACGAAAACAATACACACAGACACACAGACACACAGACACAGACACACAGACACACACACACAGGCACACACAGACACACACACACAGGCACACACACACACACACACACTCAGACATAGACAACAACCTCTCCCCATCTCCTTACCCCACCCTTACCCCTCCCCCTCCCCCTTCTTCTCCCACACCACCAACACTGACAGAAGCATGTCCGCGGCAATCTTGGCAGCGTGTTCTCCCCGTTGGCGCTGGTTGAGCACGGCAGAGCCAGCAAGGAGACAGCCCGTTGTGGTTTCGGCAATGACGATGATACCGGCGCCCGTGCCGGTTGCGCTGCGTGGCGGCTCGTGGACGGTGTCAATCTCAATGGGCACCTCAGCGCCCAGTTTCGAGCGCACGATCGCGGCGGCAGCCTCTGTCATGGCCTCGGCCACTTTCCGGGGCAGCTTGCCGGCGGAGAAGCTGCGCCCATACACGCGCTTGACCTCGCCGCGGTCAACGAGCTGTATCGCGTTGAGCTGCTTGACCGGTGCACACTGGGCGAGGACGCAGCCGCCGCCACGTGGGAAGAACCCGCGCCGCTGCACGGTGATGTTGACGGAGGACACGCCGAAGCGGCTGAGCGCGGGCTCGAAGACCATGGTGTGGTAGTCGACCTGCGGGGCCATTTGCGCGTTTGTTCCTCCGCGCAAGGTGAGCACGGTGTCGCAGGGGGAGAAGAGGGCGCAGGGCAGGGCCGCCTGCAGGATGAGGCACGTGCTGCCTGCGGTTTGTGTGTCGGCGGTGAACGCGCCGCCGATGCGCTCGCCAGGGTGCAGCTCAATCTCCTTCGACTGGACCCGGTCCCCCTTGAGGCGGCCCTGGCACATCTCGGCCACGAGGGAGATGCCTTTCAGGTGCTGCGGGCGCAAGCCCGGGCGATCGCGGCCGGCGCGGATGTTGGTGATGTGCACTGCTTGGCCCAGCACGTGCGCAAACGCCGTGGCATTGCGCAGAATCTGCCCGCCTCCTTCCAGCATGGAGCCGTCCAGCTCCACCATTCCACGCCTCGCAGCCATCGCTTGCTGTGTTGCAGTGTCCTGTGTTGTGGTGTGTCCTATGCCGTGGTGAATGCTGTGCGGCAATGGTGTAAGTGAACAAGCACGACCACGGAACAGGAAGCTCAGTGCGCTTGTGCTTGCTGTGTTGTCTGTCGTCTGTTACACAAGAAAGCAGTGCGTGCTGTTTGCTTCGTGGTAAGTTGGGACGATTTGTTGGTGCAATGCCCAAATTTCAGCAGGACCGCCGCCGTTTGTTTGCTTCACTTCTTGGCTTGTTTGCTTGCTTGCCAACCTCGCGCACCTCCCTGTTCTTTCTGCATCAGCTTCCTGCTGTTTGTTGTTGTCGCCATCGCTTGCGTCGTTCTTCCCAGCTGCTTTGCACAGCTGCGCAGCTACAACACAGCAGTACAGTCATGTGGTTGTATTGTTGGCCCCACGCCGTGTTCCATACCGTACGACTCTTCCCGCGCTATGATCGCAAAGCCATGTGAGTTGCACGAGGACGTGTCGATGTGTCATTGCAACTGTGATTGTGAGTGCGTTCGTGTTGGTGAAGGGGTGTGTTTGTGTGTGCGTGTGCGTGCGCGTGCGTGTGCGTGTGTGTTTGTGTGTGTTTGTGTGTGTTTGTGCGTGCGCGTGCGTGCTTGTGTGTGCTTGTGTGTGCCTGTGTGTGTGTGTGTTTGTGCGCGTGCGTGCTTGTGTGTGTGTGTACTTGTATGTGTGCTTGTATGTGTTTGTGCGTGTGTGTGTGCGCGTGTGTGTGCGCGTGTGTGTTTGTGTGCTTGCGTTTCACAAGCAAACTCCAATGCTCGATCGCATGCTCTTCTGTGCTCATATCCACGCCCACACACATGCATCTACGTGATAATATGTGTGTAGCATCGTGTTCTTGATGCTCTTGACAGTGGGCCTCGTGTTTGTGCCACTTTGGATCATCACAAGGTGCGCGCTGTGCGATAGTGTGATGCCCTTGCTGATTCGCGCGTTGCTTGCTAGCTTGGCGTGTGGTATTACTCCCACGTTTCTGTGAACCAGCTCATCACCACACACACACACACATTGTGTTCGTTGATTCAGGCCTTCAAGCACCAACTACTGCGAAGTAGACCTGTTTTCAGCCTGTGTCTTGACTGCCGTTTTCAGCTTCATCTCCGCAGGTGTGTGTGTGTGTGTGTGTGTGTGTGTGTGTGTGTGTGTGCACGCCCGTGTATTTTCAGGTGTGTGTGTATGTGTGTGCGTTTGCACGTGGGTACGTTTGCAAGTGTACACGCTCGCTAAGTGCACGCTTTGTCTCAATCACACTGCTATTGTAGCGCATGCGTTGCACGTTTTGTTGGTTCACCCGATGCCTTTGCACGGTGCATTCTGGCGTTGCCATGTGTAGGGTTTGCGCTATGCCTGGCTGCGCGAGACCCTGTGCCCAATCTGATCCGCACCATCTTCCACATTTTCGGGGCCGCAAATGCGCTCTTAACGCTGGCCTCTCTTGCTCTCTTGCGAGGCGCCACCTCCTGTGATCAAACCACCCCGGAGCTCTACCTCTTTATGCAAATTACCACCATCATTGGCATGGTTCTCCTCGGTGTGTGTTGTGCTTGCCCACTTGATTACTTGCTTTTTTGGCAGTTTGTACTGTGTGTGTGGTTGTGTGTTGTGTGTGTGTGTGTGTTTGTGTGTGGTCGTGTGTGGCTGTGTGTTTGTGTGTGGTCGTGTGTGGCTGTGTGTTTGTGTGGTTGTGTGTTTGTGTGTGGCTGTTGTGTGTGGCTGTGAGTGTTTTGTGTGTTGTGTTTGTGTGTTGTGTGGCTGTGTGGCTGTGTGTGTTGTGTGTGTGTGTGGCTGTGTGGCTGTGTGTGTGTATGTGTCTGACCATCTTGCCAGTGAATGTGTTTCGCCTTTGCTTTCTTGGTGCACATCATCCGCTGCCTTACCACTCTCATCGCTGCCATGTTTGTACTTTACATTTGCTGCCATTGACTTGTGGGTTTCGCAGTCCTAACCGTCATTCTGGCCCTCTTCTGGATCTACGAAGAGTAAGAACGCGTTAATTGTCATTGCGCATCGGTCAACGTGACCTCGCACTGCTCTCTTCTCTCTCGCTGACACTGTTTGTGTGTGTGTGTGTGTGTGTGTGTGTGTGTGTGTGTGTGTTTGTGTGTGTGTGTGTTTGTGTGTGTGCGTTTGTGTGTTTCTCTCTGTCGCTGCCTCTGCCTCTATCTCACCCTCACCCTCTGTTTCTGTTTCTGCTTCGCTCTCCAACACTCACACACACACACACACACGTACGCACACACACACATACACACACACACACACACACACACGCCAACAGGCGCCATCCTGGGACTGTGTTGGACATGCGCCGGCAAACGGGCTTCTGTCATGAGGCATACACTACATGCCCTTGCGTGTGGCACGTGTGATTGCGCGTGCCGTCTGCTTTGCATGTGACCTGTGTCCTTCTCGTGGGGGCCTGTATATAGTCTCGCTGTGTAACTGTGATTGACATTATATTGTTCGACCGCTGTTTGTGTTCGAAGGCTGTTTGTGTATTTCACTGCAGTTTGTGCATCCCTGCTGCTCGTGTATCGCTTGTTGTCGCTTGCCACCCTTTATCGTTGTTGTTTGACATATTCGTCTGTCTGCGCTGGCTCGCACACATGACGCATGGAACGAACGCATGCCTCCTATGGACGGATGAATGGGTGTACATGTGTGTGTGTGTGTGTGTGTGTTCACGTGTATGTATGTTGTGTGCTTGTGTGCTTGTGTTGCTGTTGTTGTTGTGTTGACTCTTGTACGTGGTGTGGTGTCAACGCAATCACACACACACACACACACACACACACACACACACACACACACACACACACACACACACACACACACACACACGTACACCACACCACACACACACACACACACACACACACACACACATGTACACCACACACACACACACACACACACACACACACACATAAATGCACATCTTTGAATGTCGCTGTCGCGCCAGCACGTTTATTTTTTCTGTCGAGTCAGCGAAATTCCATTTTGCAGCGTGACACCGCACTTCCCTTCCTGCTGGTTGCTGTGGGACAAACACCCGGACAATGCCTCCGGGACTGTCCCGCGCCCCAGCACACGTCCAACCAACTGGCAGAAGCACGGACAGAAAAAAATTCACGTCACATCATGTCCTGGGCTTTACGTGGTTGGGTCAGTGAAATGTGCACTTCCATTCGCCACTGCACCAGACCCCAGCTTGTCCCGCTTCATTTAGGTTGCATGCATGCATGCCAGGTGTGCCGCGGCGGCGGCTGGCCTGTGGTGGCAACGAGCGCTGCAGCCACACCACCAACATGCTTGCCTGGTGTGGCGTGCATGCATGTTTTCTGTTTTGGTTGTTGTCGCAACCGCGAAACGCACACTCGCCTTTCTCGCGCAAGCAACCCAAGCAAGCAAGGGCCAAAAGGAAAGCTGCAAGCACGTCCCATCGCCAGCCAAGCAAGCAGCCGCCCACCCAACACCGCTGCAAACGCCCCTGCGTTGCGTGTCTCCTCCGTCCGTCAGCGCGGACGTGTGGGGCTTGCTTGCTTGCGTGCGCGCTTGCTGCCTGCAGCCGGCATCTCTCACCACCCAACTCAAGCAAAGCCATTTCCGCTCAACCAGCCGCACCCAACTCCTGACTGCTGCTGCTGCTGCTGGGGTTTGTTGTGACGACACACTTTCGATTTTGACACACCACCATCACCATCACCATCATCACCACCACCAGCACCATCACCAGCACCAGCACATTCCCGCGTGCGGGTGAGCGCTCTTGCCTTCTCGTTGCCTTTTTGCTTGCTTTTTTTTTTGTCTTGCCTGCAAGCACACACCCCGCACATATTTTCGAGCACCAACGCCAAGCTTCCCCACATTCCCAAATCCGTCCACAGACGCCATTCTCCAACCAACCACGCGCCTGCCGCCACAACCACGGCACCAAGAAGGTATGCACGCGTTGATGAAACCCCCACCCCACCCCCACACGCACCCACGCAAACACGCACGCTGGCCGTGGTGGCGTCAAGCCCGCCTCTGCATCACCCTCCGATCCTACTCCACAACGCCCACGCACACACGCACGCACGCACTCACGCACGCACGCACGCACGCACACGGGCAGGGAGCGTCACACATTCGCTCGCTCCTTCGCGCGTGTAGATACTTCCTTCGTTCTTTCTGCTTCTTGCCCCTGCTCTTCTTTCTTTGTCTCCACAGCCACGCTGTGTGACGTGCAAGCCATCACGCACCACCCAAAGTCGTCATACCCATCACCACCACCACCACCACCACCACCGACGCCCCAGCTGGCCAGACCTGCGTCCGCCAATCAACAAAACACCCACGCACTTGCAAGCCCCACCTCGCGCTCGCTCACCTTCCTTCCTTCCTTCCCTCCTTCCCTTCTTTTCGGTTTCCTCGTCGCATTCACATCTTCAAACCACAAACGCAAACACCACCTTGCCCACCACGGGCGTGCTCGAACCCAAACATCACCCGCCTCGCTGTCGTCCAACACCACACTTTCAGCTGGGCACGACCACATACAGACCAGCAGCCCCAGCAGCGGTAAGCATCAATATCCTCAAACACCTAGGCAACCACTCCGCTTCCCTTGCTTTCACTCATGTCCAAACAAATATCAACATCAACATCATCAGCCGCACTCGCGTAACGGCACCTGTATCCATCGCACATGTATCCATCGCATGCTCCTCTCTTCCCTCTTACCTCTTACCTCTTCCTCCTCTCCTCTCCGCTTCCTTACCACATACCGTCAACACCCCCAGCTTGCCCTCTTTTCTTCTCACCCGCCTTTGCGCTGCATCTCGATGGCTTCTTTCTCCTTCAGCCAGACCGTTTCTTGCTCTTGATTGACAAAGCCTTTCCTCTTCCAACAACACGGGGGCCCCCAAGCACGGGCTAATTGCAGCAGGAGGTGTGTGTATGAAGGCGCCTTTGTTTGTGGTGCGTTGTTGGGTGGAGGACTGGACGTGCAACCCACCTATGCAATCGCACACGCACACATACCTGCATGTGTGTGTGTATGCTGTGTGTGTGTATGCTGTGCGTGGGTGTCCATTGTTGGGGTGTACGCTTCCACGCTACGATGCAACGCGATGCTGCCACCCGTTTACACATTCATCACACACACCACCCTTCCACACACCCTTCCACACCACACACCACCCTTCCACACCACACATTCACACGCAACACCCCCACACCACTCGTTCATTCCCCCTCATACCCATCAACCCACCAACCCACCAACACGTCCCCATTTGTGAAGCAAGTAGCCAGCAGCACAGGGCTTGCACGCAGTTGTTTCAAGTACAGGGAGGCGTGAAGGCTTGATCGTCTCCTTCCCTCCCCCCCCCCCTCTTCCACTTTTGGTTTGCTGCAGAACCCTGCAGCACCACACAAGCACGACCAACCCTCCCGCCGTGCACGCATCCCGGGCCACATGTTCCTGGTAAGTGTCTGCCTTTCTTCTATTCAACTTGCCCTGCACCCCTTGTATGTTTGCTCTTCGTCACATCCCCCATACACAACAACAACAACAACAACAACAACAACAACAACAACAACAACAACAACAACAACAACAACAACAACAACAACAACAACAACAACAACAACAACAACAACAACAACAACAACAACAACAACAACAACAGCGGAAAAGGGGTCCAGTCCAACGTCCCCCCACCCCACAACACACACACCACGCATGCACATGCCGTCTCCTTGACGTTTCCTTTTCTCCCTTTCGTCCCGCCCTCACTCCTCCTCCCTCCCCTCTCCCCTTTACTCACCTACCTTGTTTCCAACACTCCCACCACCACCATTCTCTGACCTTCATTCCCCCCTCGCCCCTCTTGCACAGGCCGGAAACGCCGTATCACTCCTTTTGTCATCCCTACGGGACTTGTGAGAGTTGCAACCAACTGCGTTGGGTCCTGAGGCAGTGCCTCCTTTGAGCAGCTCTTACTCACCCTCACCAAGCCGCAAGCGGCCATTATCTTCGCACTTCACCGGACCGTCCCACTCCAATTTTGAACACCAAAACCTACGACACCCACACCGTCCGTCCAACTACAGCGTGCCTGCAAGCACAAAACCCCTCAGCCTAACTGATTTTTTTTTTTCGGTTTGTTGAGGGTTTTCCCGCTGTTATTGATTTGATCTGGAGGTTTTTCCCCCGCCTCATCAGCCAGCTACTCCACGACCAATTCACGTACCAACCAACCAACCCGCCAACCAGCCCGCCAACCAGCAACACCCCTTGACTCGTTCAACTACTGGTCAATCGGCAGTTTCGTCATGGACTCTGTGTCCCGATCCCACCGGGCTCAGCAAGGGCAAGGTGCACTCGCACCCTCTCCTCACAGCACAGCAACAACAGCAGCATCCCTGGCTTCGTCGTTCTCGTCGTCCTCGTCAGGATCAGCCGCAAATCAGAAACAGCAGCAGCAGCAGCAGCAGCAGCAGCAGCACCCGCTTGTTTCCTTCACTCACAATCGTGTTGGAGGCGGTTCGGTGGCGCACAACAGCAGCCCAACCCCACCGCTCTCTCCACTTGATCTGCCCCAGCAAAGCCAGCAGCAGCAGCATCCACAACAGCTGCAAGAGCTTGGCCATTTCATGATTTGCACAACCATGCGCCAATCCAATGAAGCACAGCAGCAACAGCGCCACCACAAGGTCCTAGCGTCTCCTCTTGCTACGCATCCGCGGCTGTCGTCTGCCTCGTCTCCGCCAGGTACACACTACTACCTGTCGCCCGAGCAAGCAGAGCAGCAGCACCAGCAACACAGGCAACGACAACACCAACACCAGCATCCGCTTGGGCCCTTGTCTGCCGGTACGGACAGCACCTTCTTCACCGACGACACAGGCACAACGCCCGTCTGCTCGCCACCACAACAGCAACAGAAGCAGCAGCAGCAGCAGCAGCAGCAGCAGCAGCAGCAGCAGCAGCAGCAGCAGCAGCAACAGCAACAGCAACAGCAACAGCAGCAAGTGGTGGCTGCCACGTCGCCGTCATCGTCCTTCGCCTCCCAGCGCTCGCCGGAGGCAGGGGACACCCCACTCCTCACCATGCCGCAGACACACCCGAGCATGCGCGCCCAAGCCTCGCCTGCTGCGAGCGAACTGCAGCAAACAGTCGCCAGCCACGGGCCCCACCAACACGGCGGTGGCGGTACTGGTGGAAGAGGCCAGCAACACACCAGCAGCGCCGGTGGTGGCCACGGTGCCTACCCAGGCGGCAGCGGCTCTGGCAGCGGCGGTGGCCACGGTGGTGGTCATCACGGTGGCACTGGCGCTGGCAGCAGCGGTGCTGGCAGCGGTGGCGGTGGTGGCGGCGGCCACAAGCGCAACAGCAACGGCGACAGCGACGACGGTGGCGATGGTCGCCATCCGCGCAGACACCCGCACGTCAGCAGCCAGCAGTACGGCAGCGATGACGACGACGATGACGATGCTGACGGTGACGCCGACCTTGATACTGATGGCGCCCGTGGGAGAAGCGCCCACAACGCCACCACCAGCGCCGCCCGTGTTCGCGGTGGCGGCCCCGGGCCCAGCAGCAACAACGACGAACAAGATGACGCCAGCTACAGAAGCGACAGCGTGGACGGCGGCGGCGAGCACTTCGCAGCGCCCATGCCTCATCCCCGCAACCAGGGGGACGATGGCCAGGTGCACCCGCAGCTGTACATGTACAACACCATCCCCGTCACCGCTGCCACGCCCGTGCAACACCAGAGCCCAAGCCCGCGTAAGCAGGTGCGGGGCTCGGGAATGGGCAGGAAGAAGGCAGGCCCCAAGCGCGGTCGTGGGCCAGCGAGGGCGCCAGGCCATGCGGCTGCACGTGGCGGTGCCCCCAAACGCGTCAACAACCCCAGGAATCGCCGGCGGAGCAAGAGCATTGACGTCAACGCCGACGAAGCCCGCGCAACTATGAGCGCCAAGCAGAAGAAGAAGGAGAAGCGGGTGCCGTGCCCTCTCTGTGGGCGGTACTTTGTCAACCCTTTCTCCCGCAAGCGCCACCAGCAGTCAGTGCACGAGAACAAGACCAACACGCAGGTCTGCCGCGAGTGCAACAAGGCCTACAGCAACCCCGGCAACCGCAACAAGCACGAGCGCGATGCCCACAACTGCACGCCGTGTGCAAAGTGCCAAGGCGCCCTTCCCCGCAACAGCCAGAAGCCGTTTGCCCCGGTGCACTGGCGCGTGTGCGCCTGCAACGGCCCCGCGGCGGACTTGCTTACATCACGCCAGCCAACACCACCACCACCACCGCAGCCGCCACACCTGCAACCGCAGCAGCAGCCGCAGCAGCAGCCCCTGCCACTGCAGCCTGACTGCCTTGTTCCGCTGCCCCTCGTGCACCAAGACATGGCGCACCCCTTTCAGTTCTTCCAACAGCAGCAACAACAGGCAGAACAAAGGCGCCAAAGCGTTGAGCGATTCTTTCAGCAGCAGCAACAGCAACAGCAACAGCAACAGCAACGACTGCAACACATGCAGCAGCTGCAGGAACATATCCAACAACAACAACAACAGCAGCAGCAGCAGCAGTCGCAATCGCAGTCGCCGGGAACGACGCGGAGCAGTGTCGACTTGCACCCAGATGCTGTTGTGAACGCGGTGTTCCCAAACACGGGCATGACAGCCCCGGTTGCCATTGCCAACACCAATCACGATTCGCCGACAGGGCCAGGCCAAGCGGACTTTGGTAACCCAAGCGCCCTGGCAGCAACCAAGCCAGCAGTGGTGACTTCTGCCCCAGCAACACAAACCGCGCCAGCACAAGCACCCACGGGAGCGCACATCATGCAAATGCTGCAAACATCTGCCTCTGTCGCTGTGCCCTTTGGCGGCCAGCAACATCAACATCAGCACAATTACCACCAAGGCAGCAGCAGCAACAACAGCAGCAGCAGGAACACTGGTACTGGGGGTGGTGGTCACAGTGCAATGCACGCGTTTTATGCACTGCTGGCCCAGGCACAGCAAGCACAACAAGCACAACAAGCGCAACAAGCACACACGTATGCACAGCAACAATCGTTCGCACCCAGTCACAGCTCTGGCCCTGTTGTTGTGCCAGACATGCTGCGACAACTTCACGCTACCCTGGACGCTCATCAGTTGTCGGCACACCTTCAGCAGCAGCAGCAGCAGCAGCAGCAGCAGCAAGCTCAGTATGAGCCACAGGAACAGCAGCAGCAGGATGCAGCAGCATCGCTCGTGAATTCCTTTGCAGGACCGTGTTTCCCCGCCAGGCCGCAGGCGTCATCATCTGCACAGCCAACGTTTCTACTGCCACACCAGCAGCAGCCCCAGTCGCACTTTGCCCAGCATCCGAGCCAACAGCTGGTGTTTGCTCAACAACAGCCGCAACAGCAGCAGCAGCAAGAGCAGGCCTCGTTTGCGTCGCAGGTACCGCTGACCAACCCCCCGCCGGCCCTGCCAGCTCAGCAGTATCCACCACAATCATTGCAGCAGCAACAACAGTACCAGCAGCCCCAGCCGCAATTTGCGCCAGTGCCGGACGAGAGCAACGCGGTCTTTCCAGCGCAGACAGGCACTCAGCTTGAGGCAGCCAGCATAACCCCTGCCATGCAGCAGCAGCAGCAGCAGCAGCAGCAACAACAGCAGCCGATTGGTTCCGCGGAGCAAATGGATGCACCGCTTGCTGCCATCACTTCCAGCCACGCAAACGCGCTCTTGAGTGGACTTCCAAGCAGCCTGGACATGTCAGCAATGCTTGCGCTGTTGCAACGGCGCCGCCAACAACAACCACAACAGCCACAACAACAACCACAACAGCCACAACAGCCACAACAATACCAACCACAACAGCAACAACAATACCAACAGCAACCACAACACTACCAGCAACAGCAACAGCAAGGCTCTGCACTCGACACGGTAGAGGACCTCGACTTGGGATCATTTATGCCTCCATCGTCTTCGTAATGCCATATCTCATATCATCTTTGCCCACGCATAACGCGGTCGACCATCGGTCACGCTGTTGCCGTGGCGCTTGCTGTTCTTCTTCACGCATCCCTTCTTCTTCGTGGCTGTGCCAGAACCCCTCGTTGCCTCTCCCACCTCCGGCCATTGCTCACATCTCGTTTCCGCCGACACGCCGAGGCGATTGGTGCAAACCATTTTGGCAATCGCCAACCAGGCGGTTCACCCCCCCCCCCCCGACTTGTTCCAGTGTACATTGTTGCTGCTGCTGCCGCCGCCACCGTGCACAGAGCAGTGTGACCGTCAGGGCTGACTGGGTGCCTGGTTGAGTGAGACCCACCCATCACTACCGCTGCGCCTCACACGCCCCGTGTGCCCTTGTGCGATTCCCGCTTCCAGTTGCCCGTGATCTTCGACCCTACCTAGCTGAGCCCCTCCCCCTTCCTCTCTCTCTCTCTCTCCCCGCACTTCCCCAGAACTTATTTTCGCTGCTGGAGCTTGCTTGCAAGCACTTGTTTTCCGCCTCTCGCCAGGCACCACGCTGCAGGCACGATTGCGCCCGCCCCCACGTTGTGCTGTGCCACCCACATGGACCCATTCTTATATTCCATGTGCTTCGGCAAACGTGGTTGGCACGTTGTCTGGACACGCAGTTGTGCTCTGATGCTGTGCATCCCCACTTTGGAGACCCACACGCACAGCACTTGCACGCGCACGCAAGCCTCCTCCCTCCTCTCCTTCGTTACATGTGTTGCGCACACACGCCCATCTTTAATGTGCACGTTGGGCGTAGGCTGTCATCAGCCGACGCGCGCGCATGTTCATATGTATACGTTAGACGCGTTATGTTAGACGCACAACGTCTTCCGCGACAACTGCAGCGACCACAACGACAACGACAACGACGACAGCGGTGTCTACAATGATCCACGTCCTCCGTGCTTGTGCTATGCTGCCACAACCTAAAGCAGCATCGACCCACTGGCGGCAGAACTTGTGGACAACCGCTTCGCTCTTCAATCCGCAGCCATCGTCATCTCCTGCACCGGAGACGATGCGAGACACCAGGATGAGACAACAAGATGACACCACGCCACGATCACGTGATGGTCGTCAAGTGTGCGTGACAACGACAATGACGACGACGACAACAACAACAACAACAACAACAACAACAACAACAACAACAACAACAACAACAACAACAACAACAACAGCAACAACAACAACAACAACAACAACAACAACAACAACAACAACAACAGCAACCCTTACACCAAGGTCCAATTTCCCTACACCGTCTTTGCCGCAGCATCGCAACTCTGACTGTTTTTGTGTTGCGGTGTTCAGCGCGCATAGCAGCACACGCCGTGATACCACTCCCGTGTTGATTGCAGGCAACACAAGAGGTGGCACACCATGTGCTTGAGGTTGAGCAGTGACAGGGACGTTATCATTCGGATGTCACGATGATGCGCTCTCCCGTGTCCCCTTCATCCTCCACCATATAATCTTGCATCCCTTTCACCTTCACATTCTGTGATGGGCGTCTGGGCGCTGGCTTGTCCCGAGCCGTTAGTTTCCTCCTCCCCACTCTCCCGCTTTTTCAGTTGTTCTTCGATTCCTATTGAGTATCTAGTAGCCTCCAATTCAACCTTTATGTTGGTGACGGGATTTGACATCCTCCTTGTGAGCGGCCCGTGCCGCTGTCGACCATATGCGACTGACCGCAATGCGGTGTTGTAGTTCTCTCCGTTTAGATTTTTCCGTGTTGTGATTTGTGTTTCGTTTGCCGCCACGCGCAGCAATGCCTTTGAAAGGCAAACAGCTTGCGTTTTCTCTCTGTGTTGTTCGTGTTGCCCTTCTCTTCTCAAAGTCACCACATCTGCATCGCACCCCCGTGCCCGTGCGCGCTCACCTGAGCGTAGTGTGGCTCGCGGGTGTGAGCAGCTTTGCTTGGTGCTCTGGTGCTGGGTTGTGCACGACAGCACGTGTTGCGTCGACTTCTGCGAAGTGACGAACGCATGCGCATTTCTCTCTTTCTGTGTGTGTGTGTGTGCTGTGCCGTGTTGGTGAACAACACTGCTGGTGGCCTGTGCCACGCCCGAGGAGCAACCTGGTGTTGCAATCTGTTCCAGCCACTGTGTGGCCGTGTGACTATAGGTGTTTTGTTTGACATAGACACGCTGACTTTGATACTACGTGTACGTCTCTCCACTAGTCAGCCGTGTTTTTCGTATTGTTGTGAGCTCGGTGCTTGGAATGTGGGGTGTGTGACCCCCACGTTTGCGCGAGCCGCGGGGTCGTGCTTTTGTTAGTTCGAAGCGGCCCCCATCTTTGATTATTTCAGCCCTTTGTTGTTTGTTGCTGTTGTGTGTACTGAACCGCGTACCGTGTACTATTAGTGTTCCTTGGACGCCTATCGTTTGCTCTCTCTTACAACTGCATCTTGAACCTGGACAATCAGCTTTGCTGTGTACAGCGATGCCACACGATGTTGTGACAGTGTGACGCTGTGAAGTTTTAGAACTTTGTGTTTCCATTTCTCATTTCGTTTCCATTGTGGGCGCCATGTGCCACGCTTTGGGACAGCATTTCTCCTCCTTTCTCTTTCCTCTTCTTCTCTCCACTCAAGGACCTCATTCCGCCACCACAAGCCTGTCAATGTGTGCCTGCAGGCAACGGGGCTCTGTTCTCTGTTTGACTTGCTACATGCTGTCGGCTTTCTCTTTTCCCATGTTGTCAGAGTGTTGTGTCAGGCCGTGCCAGCTGTCGCCGTTGCCGCTGGCACTGGGCCGTGTCTTGTCGATTCTTTCTGTCTTATCTTGCGTGACGTGCTGTGATGCTGCCTGCTTTGACGGTTCGATGATCCCACTGGTGAACCCGTCTCTATTTGTGTCGATTGTTTGTTGTATTTGCTGCACGTGTAGTTGTGATGATGTTGTGTAACACCTGGAGAGGCTGTTTGTTCGCCTGTTAGATGCTTGCACGCGTGTGTTGTGTGGTTTCTCAAAAACCTCTGCGTGCTGTGTTTCGTTTTCATTCCTTACATATGATGAAGCAATATACACTATGACACAACGTGTCCAGGCAGTTACAAGCAAAACAAGGAAAGAGGGTGTGTGTGTGTGTGTGTGTGTGTGGTGCGGCTATGCGGTTGGTGGTGTGGGCAGCAAGGGCTGCTTCGTCTGAGGTTGTTGTTGTTGTTGTTGTTGTTGTTGTTGTTGTTGTTGTTGTTGTTGTTGTTGTTGTTGTTGTTGTTGTTGTTGTTGTTGTTGTTGTTGTTGTTGTTGGTCGTGGTTACAGCTGTTTGAGAGAAAGAGAGGACGAAAGGGCCGGCAGACATACGGACCCACATGACGCATACCGAGGCAAGAGGATTGGGCGTATGTAGACTAACACACACAGGCACTCACACACATCCCCCTCTGGGAGACGGAC